TTTTAAATAAGAGCTTTCATTAACTTTATGTTTTCTTTTCTTTCTTTTTTCCACCCAGAAAATACATCACCATCACAGCACTGGAGCAGCGCGAGCAGTATAAAGACGACTTCTGTGCCGAGTACGATGAATACAGAGCTCTTCATGACCGGATTGGGGCTATCACAGAGATGTTTGTTCAGTTGGGCTCAAAGATCAACACCCTCTCCCCGGGAACACAAGAGTACAAGGTACTGTCTGGACCAGGAGTCTGTTTCTAATAATACTCGAAACAGTAAACAGATCAGATACACGGCACCCTAACACTCTTTCTTTTGTAATCTTTTCAGCTAATGGAGGACCAAATACTACAGAAGTACCGAAAGTATAAGAAAGTAAGAATAATTTAACGTTTATCTCATTTCATGTAACACTTGTACCCCTGTGTGCTGGGCCTCCTGTAAGAACAAGTCATATAAACATATTGATTCTTGAGTGGCACACAACAGATCCACTTATTTGACTTGAGACATTTAATGCCTTAATCTGAATGATTGGTAATTAAATATGTTCCTGAAATCAACAAAAATAAAAAATAATTAAATATTAATATTCTGTCTTCAGTCAGTGTGCTGTGCATCATGGCTCTCATTCCCTGAGAGTTTAGCAAACATTTCCTTTCTGATTTTATTGGCATGAGTATTTTGGCACAACGTTTTATTCAGGTCAGTAGTTGCTGATTGAAAGGTTCTTGTGCAGGTTGTTTTCCGGGGGAACAACTGGCAGTTTAACATCACCCGTAATCCAATTTTTTATCATCAGTCATGTCACGTCCTCTGGACCACGTCATATGTTAGTCATGGACTATTGCTCTTGCTTTAGAAGGACATTTGGCATCTACCTTTATGTCAACCCATTCCTTCTTTGTTTCTGACATGGCTTTGATAGCTGTATTAATATTGTATAATCCCCTAATAAAGTGCTATCAGCCGACTGACATAATTGAATTTGTTTTTGTCACATTTTTGTGAATGAAATATGCCCACAAATGGATTGGTAAAATGTGCCTCATATAGCAATGCAGGGGCTATTATGATAATGGACAAAATCTCCCAAATGAGCAGCTACTCATAAACAGGCAACGTTCATCAGGTTGAAACATGCAATTTGTAACAAGTCTGTGAGCGTTTGTTGAATCCAATTTGATACAGTCAAGCAAACCTCCCGGGAAAAACAAAAACAAAGAGAGGTTTATGATATGAATATGGAAATGTTCTTGCATGAGGTCAAATGTTGATGTGAGTTACTGAAAGTTCACTTGTGCCCCCTTTTTTTCTTTTCAGAAGTTTCCTGGTTATCGGGAAGAGAAGAAGCGATGCGAGTACCTCCATCAGAAACTGTCGCATATCAAAGGCCTGATCACAGATTATGACCAAGCACAGGGACTCTCCTACTAACTGGCCTCCGCCCTTGGCAGGGCATAATATGACTGGACCAAAAGACTCCTTACGGACCCAAAGACTGCTCAGCTGGGTCCTGGAGCTGCTGAGACACTATTCACTTTACTCCTCTGAGTGTTAACGGAATCGAGTAGCGAGGTTCTTTTTTCAAAAGTGGGCTGAGACCACGACTCGTGATCAAATGTTGCCCTTTAACATTATGGTTTTCAACTATGATTATCGCTGTAATGGCTGGATTTTGTTCTGCTGTAAAATGGTCAGACGACCCAGTGAAAGCCAAATCCATTTTTCTGAAATGTAAAACAGATGTGATCCTTCCGTCTTTTATCTTGTCAGAACTAAAAGGCGCTGATTTATAAAAAGTATTAAATTGATGGTACAATCAATCTTAGGGGGAAACAAATGCCACTAAAGTCTTTATATTTAACATACAGAGGAATTTGTTTATTTGCTGATAGAAAGTCAGATATTGACATAACACATTCAATCACATCAATGATTCATTGGTGATAGCGATAAGAGTACATAATGACAATGATATGGTCATGCCATGAATAGTCTAACAAAATGTATCATCCACTCAAAACCTATATTTCTGCGGGACTAAGACCCTACAACGGTTATCTAAATGAAATGATCCCACAATGAAGTTTAAAGCATAACATGCAGAGCTGTTTCACAGTGTGCTGTAGAATATGCGGTCAGGACCAGTTTCTTTGTGCTTTGATAAGAAGGAATTTTACCCTGCAGCTTTTATACCAGCGTCCGGTTTCATTTCTAAGAAATGTTGGAATGCCACAAAACAACTCCTCCCAGTACCATCAGGCTGGTGCGTGTGCACATTTAGTGTTAATTTCACCCACATGTAGCCTACCATGAACTGCCTTTTCATTATCAACTAACACATCTCTCTAGTCTTCTGGCTGCAGGTTTGTTTACCGATTCACAGTGCACACCGTGTTCTGTAGACGATTGACTACAAGCGGCTCTGTGAAGTATAACTTTTCACTTTACATGCAGTTTTAAAAGCTTACGGGGTATTTATCCTTGTAATCAAGCTTGTCCAAACATTTTGATTTACCATGATTTTGCCTTGGTTGAAGTCTTGATGATGTTTCACATAGTATTTCGTTGAATAACAGTAATTCACTTTAGTGAAGCTTACACTTTGATGTTATTCTGCTGGATGTGATAGAGAGCTTTTCCTAAATTGGACTGTGTAATTTTTAGCCCCATGGGGAGAATGACACTGTGGGTCAGTCACTCAGTTTTAACCACTTCGGTTTGTACCAAGGCAGGTACATCTGAATACCTGTAACCTATAATTTTATTTCTCCTTAATTAGCTGTGGCCTGAAGTAGGAAATAGTGATCAGATTTCAGTGTTTTCTGGACATTTGCATCAATGTAGCTGTACTCACAACTATTGTCTTAATGATGGCTTAAAATGAGCGGATGAAGCTAATATTTGCCTTAACATGTATGTTCAGACATTTCCAAGATTACGCTCTCCCTGTCCTGAAATGTTCTTAGCTTAACCTGCACAGTTCAAATGCAGACCATATGGTGTAAATGTCTTTTAGTTTGAGGGAAAGTTCAGTTACTGCTTACTCGTTGCTCAACAGTTGTCTTATCTGTGTTGTTCTTGGGGTTTTCGCCCCTCCCCCATGTACGTCTTAATAATTTTCTGTTTTAGCTTCATTTGTCAGATAATCATGAACTTTAAAGGAATTGAATTCATTGTCCAATCCTATCAAGCACCACTATCAAAGAATCATTGCAGAAATCTTTACAAAATAGTGTGCTTTGCTTCTCTTGATTTCTCAGTGCAAATACTCAGTGGGCTTACGGTCACAGCTGCTCTATTGTGTACGTTAAATCTAAGTTTTTTTCCACTTGGTGTTCTGGGATGTTTGAAGGATTTGAGATTAGCAACAGTTGCTCTGTCTTGGCACATATGAACGTTTCCAAGAAAGGAATATTTATCAGCACTGACTAATGGGGCCCACACAGTGTTTTAAGCATTAAATATCATGAAAGCTAAAAATGCTGGCTTCTTAAAGCTCCGGTACACCTACAGAAATATTTTCAGTATACTTGCCATTTGGACCAAACTTCACACTCTTGTGTGATTCTTTTGTCAACATGCATTTGAATGTGCTAAGCAAATGTGTTACACAGCTCCACCCAACTTGAGAAAATGTCTGATCAGTCAAAATAACTGAAAACAACGGTGTGCTTTGTTCTGGTACTGGATCTGGAACTCAATGAGGCGTGGTTCCATTGTATTTAAAGACAAGAGTACAAGGCCTGCTCAGATATACTTTGTTTTTCAACAAATCTTTCATTCAAACGAAGAAAGGTACTGAAATTTGTTTTTGAATGATGCGGGATGGAAACATCCGCATAACACCATTTAGACCATGAGACCTTAAAATAATAACAATTTACCTAACTAATTCAAGTTAAGGGCTTCCCATTTGCCACTAAAGTAGCGTTGGTCAAGTGTACAATATGTAATCACCCCTGGGCAAAAAGTCTAATCATAGTATGAATGAAGATAATTGTACCATTCATATTGACGTGTTGTTTTTGGGAAACCAGACCCTTGGTGAAAGGGGCTTCTCAAGTGCTAACTGTGATGTTTTTACTGTTGCAGGAGTTAACTACTGAAGGTGCCTTTTTCATTCAAAGAGCAGGGCCACTCTGCATAAAACTGTCATTGGTATTTGGGGGAGGAAAAAAAAGAAGAAAAAAAAAACTTGGGCCAGCAGTATTCACGCATCTGTAGTTTCACACTGTTGCCACTTTTCAAAGTGCTTTGTTCATACTTACAATAAGTTGATATCAGATGCCTTGTAAAATGTATGAAGCCTATTGGCACTGACATGATTTCATATTTAAACAGAACATTTTTTCCCAGACATGTAATAATATATATATGGCATTTGTAAATGCAAGGTTTTCCAGGACACTAATTAAACTGCATGTGGTGTTAGCTAACTGAAAGAATGGCCTGGATTTCGTTTTAATTTCTATTTCCAACCCAGCAAACTGTTTGGTGAATTGGTTTGTTGGACCTGGAAAAACAATGCCTCAATGGAAATGTGAAATCAAACATTTTGCCAAGTATAAATCACTGCAATTGATCTACCAAGGAGAACAACTTTCTTTATTTATTGCTCTTTTTAAAAAAAATGTGTTTGTCCTTTTATGGGATTCATCTTTGCATAGTTCATTCTTTTCACAGCGAAACTCAAAAGTATGGCGAAAGGGAAATGGAATATATTTTTGCAATTTTTGATGGTGGATGCTTTATCATGTCATCCTCTTGAGAAAAGCTTTCAGAAAACAAGTGTATTGTTGTCTCAGTATAATTGAAAAATAAAGCTCTTTTCAATTCAACAAGGTGTCGTGTTTCCCCAAGAGGGCAGTGTTACTCTATTTCTAATCTGAACCACAACTGTTTTCCATTGACAACCACTAGGACATTAAATGATTATTATCATCTTCATTATTAAAATACACAGACATGTGTTTCTAAAAGGCACAATTTAAATCATTTGTTTCCTATAAAGTGTTTTATTAACCTTTCAATCAACTGTGACATCATTTTGTGAAAGCATTTAGTGAAATGTATGACACTATCACATGTGATAATAAATCTGCAGCTTTGAGGACTGAAGTTCTGAAATTATTTAGTTGAATGTTTCCAGTTTATCCTTGTACACTTGTTTTGTCTGTGTCATAAATATCAATAAACATCCATTAACAAGCTTACAATTCCTAGACAATATATTAAGAATTTAATTGTAAACACAGTATCAAGGGTGTCTTTGCTCATCAAAACACCAACATGATTCACAGTTTTTTTTCCCCATCTTTTGTGCTCAATCATTTTGTTACATTTTGAAGTTAACATATATATAATCTGCTGACAGTCAAAGTCTAAGCCATGCCTTGAATGGCAGCATGAAAAATGCATCACAGGTGAGATAATCCCCTGAAATGTCTCCGCTGCCTTTCCCCCTCCGGAAGCACTTTTGGCTGAGATGCTACCCACTCATCTCTTGAATCACTGGAGATGAAACTTTTAGCAGCAGCATCTTATCACAAAACAAAGAGCAGAGAAAGACTTAAAGGTTGGTGCAAAAGCTTGCATCAGTACAGAGCCCTTACTTTGCAAGAACGCTAGTTACAAAACTGCCGGTGTTACATCAGAAGTGTGGAATGCACAGAGGTTTAACCTTGGCTGTTAAATTACAAAAAATACGCAAGGCTACTTTATAAACTTGATTTGAGTCCAGTGTTTTAAACTTTAATCGGTCCCTATTCAAAGTATTTGTTGTGTCTATTTTAAAAAGCGTATAACGTATGATTTCAATAATCAGTTAATCAAACAATCTGTCACAAAACAATCTAATGCAATTATTCCAGAAAGCCCTTCAGTTATTGCTGGATTGAGTTTGGTGTACAACATGCTATTCTAAACATAAATGCAACACGATGTGCCTGTGATGTGTTGCCTAATCTTCTTGTGCACCAGTTTGACTTTAGTCCACCATTACAGCTCCAGATAGATGACACTAAATCCTTTTAAAAACCTGTCTTGATAAACTTTTTTTTGAAGTTAGTCAGTAAGGCTTTATCTCCACCCTCGTTATCATGGTTTGATTCTTAACTTGGGCTGTGCGAGGGTTACAATCCCAATCAATGAGGATATCAAACCACAAAATCCCACCACTCCTGCATTTGACTGATATATACCCAGCCTGTCTAAAGGAATGAAGAGATCACATATATTCTTCAGCATGTCATAGGCAACAGCCGGATGTGATTTTAGGGTCTTCAACAGCAGAAAGAGAAAAGCATCCAGCTGAGGAATGACAACTTCAGCTACTTCAGGATTCTCGCTGAGGTGCTGATCTATTTTCTGTCTAAAGTGTTTATCTCTCACTTTCTGGACCATTAACTGGATGACTACGTAAACATCTCTGGTCAGGCTCATAACTAGTGAGAGGAAGTAGCAGCGAGAGGCGTTTAGGCTCCAGCGTTCCTTGTCGATATCGCGGATAAGGCCGACACTTCTGGCCCAAAGTACATTGTCACAGATAAAGTAGAGGGCGCGGTTGATGTTGGCCACAGTAAGGCACAGGCACAGCACTCGGTCAGAGAGTTGCAAGGTTCGCTTAGCAGCCTCAATGGAATTTACTGTGTTTCCCAGCCTGAACACTGACAGAGGGGGAAGGAAAAAAGGGTATTAAGAACAGTAATCAATTCAATATGAAATGTCAGGTCATCAACATTATCTTTCACCTTATTACACTGTTCCTCCAAGGAAAAGAGATCATGTTCTTCATTTAATCAGGGTGTTTGATGGCACCTAATCTAGCTGAAGCTCTTACTTGCATTCTCTGCTTTCTGAACCCTTCAGAAACTATGTTATTGGCATCATTCACAATCCCCTGCCTGTCTCCTACACCCACTTTGCCCGAAGGCATAGATGCAGAAGAGCCCTGTGGCTGCAGCTCTGATGTAGAAAAGAGATAATAAGGTCTTTATTTCCTGACCCTGCTCTAAGGCAGCACCTTATTCTTCATTTCCACGTGGAGCTTGTGTCATGTCACTGAAAATGTTTTATTCATATCAAAACCACACTGTGTCAAAGTTCAAAAGGTTTCAAAAATCACCCCGGGCTGTGAAGTAAACCTATGTATGAGTGGTCTTATGGTTGTTAAGTGTCCCAGCCTCAGTTGCCGCAGGTTCACGTTCCAACACACAGTACAGTCAACCACACAGTGTCTATCTCACCTCACAGTGGGACAAACTTCAGTACTGCCACAAACAGCCATGGGCCTGGTCTAGATGCCAAAGAGAATACAAATTTGCCAACTTGTACAGTACGAAATTCAGTACAATTTGTACTGTACTTTTACAAAGCACGAACAAATATGACTTGACACACTTGATCATCCTCATGTGGTGTATACAGTTTGATCATTTGCCAAAGAATGAAAATTAAAGTCACAGTAAAATAGACATTTGGGGTGAATGAAATTTCACTAGATATTCGCTATATTGTCAGCTTAACAATGTGTCTTGGCAAAGCGATTGTATATATTAGTGATTTCGGAGACAAAATGTGGGCAGTTGCTGTTTGAAAAAACTTTGGCGAAGATTTCACCAAATTTCACCACACTACATATGTAATTTACAGTTAACAATGTCACAACTTCTCATGATATATCCTTATCCCTTATTTTGATTTTCAGGATCATATGAACCTAATGCTATGAAATATTTATAAAAAATTTTAAATAGCAGATAAAAGGTTTATGGATTTTACCATCAAATGTCCAGTGGCACTTAGGAACATTTGTGTGGGACAAGCTCTATTTTATTGTATTGCATTGTATTATTGGGGTGGTGATGGTGCAGTGGAAAAGACACATGCCTTTGGTGTGAGAGACCCGGGTTCGATTCCCACTGTGACCCATCCACCGTTGTGTCCCTGAGCAAGACACCTAACCCCTAGTTGCTCCAGATGAGCATTGGATAAAAGCGTCAGCTAAATGTATTAAAGAAGATTATTGAATTATTATTAGTAGTGCTGTGGCTCGGGAGATAAAGAGGGTTCCCGGCTCTTCCAGTCTGCATGCCTATGTGTCCCTGAGCAAGATACTGAACCCCAAATTGCTCCTGAAGCGATGCCATCATTGTATGAATGTGTGTGAATGACCATCCTAGTTCATTTCTAATGTGCAGTTGACACCTTGCAAGGCAACCATTTCCAATGTATGAAAGTGTGTGAATGGGGGGAATGTTACATGTTGTATAAAAGTGCTTTGAGTGGTCAGAAGACTAGAAAGGCGCCATATAAGAACAGTCCATTTATCATTTTTCCACCTTCCATCAAGCCCAATCAACTTAGGCTATTATTTGCTGTGACTCAGCTCCTGTCTTGTTGGACTAAAAGAATGGGCAGTCAACAGCTCGTCCTGATGAAATATTATTGCTTTGTAGTGGCTGAAATTGCCATGGAGTGACTTCAGTATACGTAGGATTGTTTTGCAGCAGACCACAGTGCTTTGCATATTCAATGACGGAGGAATGAAATAAATAAATATGGAGGCAGGCTTTATTTCATGCTATTTGGGCATGCAGGTCTATAAAACCAATAATGACTATGTAGAAGGATTACGAAGCTGATTTCACTGACACTAAGAATTGTGGCTAAGAACAATATTTACAAATAGAAGGAAAAAGCTGCAACGATTATTCAGTTAGTTGTCAACTATTAAATTCAAGTGCAACTATTTTGATAATAGATTAAATCAAGCAATAAAAAACCTTTTGATTTCAACTTCTTATTTTCTGTTTTTTACTTCTTTATGAAAGAAAGTAAACGGAATTTCTTTGGGTTGTGGACAAAACAAGACATTTGAGGATGTCACCTTCGGCTTTGGGAAACACTGATTGAAGCCCTAAAAAACAGGGACAACTAGGACAGCTAGTACAGAAAGCTATTATTGTAGGGTCTATAAAACTAGTGGTGAAATAATAAGGTGATCGACAAAAAAAATAAATCAACATTTTTCATGATCGCTTAATTGTTTAAATCATTTATCAAGCATAAATGTTGATCAAATAAAACAACCCCCCCCCCCCCACACACACACACACACACACAGTTAGACTAAACTACTCATAAAAATAATAACCATGGATTACTGATTATTCGCAGCCTCACCAAGAGCAGCTATTTAAGAACTCCCTCTTTAATTATTTAAACTTTGATTAATGTAGGTATTATCAGAACAATAAAAGGAATTAGATTTTGACTTGGAGGCAAAATATAATGGACAAAGGCGGGCAGCCATGTTACAGCCAGTACAGTGTTAACTCAGCTGCAAAAATAATTATTGCAGAGGGGTGGGATGTGTGTAGCAGGATTTTAGATCAGGCACTTGTATGGTAAGAAGCACAGTCTAGTTAAGTTTCTATTCTTAATTTTAATGTGTTAATTTGAACCACAATAGTCAGTAAAGTACATTCTCAAATGGGACACATCTTCATTGATTTGTTTTGTTTTTAAGTTACCTTTATTCCCCGTTTTGTATGGGACCTCCAAACCCAGCTTTAACTAGTCAACCTAAGTTGCCTATACTCACATTTTCGTCCAGCACTCATGTGGGCTTCCAGACTTGTGAGTTTCGCCACAAGGTCCTTTCTTTCCGGTGTGTTTCGTAGTAAATATATCGACAGTGCACATGCATATTGGGTTGCCCTGAAATAAAGTAAGAAACATACGGTAGAGGAAGAATGTTGTCATTCAGTTATTCAACACCCTTCAGCACGCTCGGTCTTTGCTCTAACGTAACCTCACGTTTCTACAAATAAAATACAACGTCCACGGTTTACGACCCGGTCACAAATACTCTAAACAACTCACCTGAATATACGGTCCCTTCCTTGACTTTGGTTTGTGAAGTTTACAACCGCGTCCATGGTTAAATCGAACAAGAACAGACTGTTCTAGTTAGGAAAGGCAGAGTTGCCCCCTCGTTAAAGGACGGACCCGGGGAGATACGTTAACGTAACTTTCTCGCTAGCGTTGGTGTCTGTTACGTGTCCTCGGTGAAAACAACGTTGCCGATTAAAACGCAAGTAAATATAATCTGAACTTTGAAACTTCTTCCACGGTCACAATAAACGAATTTTTGGTCCGCTTAATTCATACATGACAGCTGAAAAAAATGTACTTGTTTCGAGACGGATACGCTCTGCAAACGGACAAAAAGCCGAATGGGTTTTGGTGACGGACCTGCGCGTCATATTAGCAACAAGATTTCAATAATTAAAGTTAACAAACATTAACACATTTTCTTTGAATGTCAGTCCACATCGGGATTCTGGAAAAAAAATAGGATAATGATGTAATATTATACTATAAAAACAAAATTAACAATTTTATTAGGAAAGCTCCACATCCATAAGAACAGTTCTCCAGATCCATCATCAGAATCCTTTCTATAATTCATTCTATAATAAATGTGCTTATATAATTGATATATACAGACGTCATAATGCCATGGTGTTTTTGCTTTTATGAACGAAAGTGAATTTATCCTGTGATATAAGCCTGTTATGATGCCTAATACTGTTACTATGTTGTGTACTAAATTATTAAAGTTGAAGGAAATAAAAAAGGTAAACAGGTGCTTTAAGTAAGAGAAAATATTTTCTGATGACATTAGCCTAAGTGATGAAAAAACCGCAAAAAATGTCGACTATGAATAAAAACGCTCTGTGAATTTACTTGTCACTTAAATTAAGTCCCCATAAATGTATTGCAGGAAGTGAGTCTTGGGTTGCTCGGAGAATTATTAGGGTACACGTGTTGAAAATGGAAATATAGTATACAGTATGTACCTACGTGTTTTAAACGGCAGGGGGCAATGATGCAGTTGTTAGATGGTTGGTCAGAGGCATAAATAAAACAATATGTCACATTTTTAAAAACCTTTGCATTTATTATACAGCTTAAAATTTATGATACGGTTATGTGGCATGGTGAATAGAATAAAGAAAGTCACTGGACCTAATACATCTAAAATGATGGATTCATGATTGGCTATGCTATTGCACATTTCTTTCCATTGAAAAATCAATTATTAGTAGGCCTATGTTGTTTTTATTAACTCTTATAAAATACAATGATAATTGCAATTAGCTGTTGGTTACTTACTTTGAATAAATGCCATAATGTTAATATTAATATGCATATTTTTGTATCTCAACAATTAATGTGGGAAGATCCTGTTCTATTGTAAGCTGACCTATTTTGTATATAAAACAAAATCCAGTCAAAATCAAGCCTCTAAATCCTGAAAACGAACCATGAGTCTGGAAATGTTTTGGCAGTGTCAGCATGAAAGGGCATTTGGAAGCCATACACTATACAGTGAAAAACGGGTTAAACATAATGTTAAAAAATAAAAAAATAAACATTTAGATACATTAACATGAATAATTAAATAAAAATCAAGAGTACTAAAATAAACAACGAGTGACCAAAGTTTTATGCAGTGGGATTTGGGGTTCAGTGTTGTCAGTCTCTTAAAGTCACTTAAATGTGTGCCTCCATTATATCAACTGTGGATTTATTTTGTCTTTTAATGTTCATGTTTTGTTTGGTAATTGTGTTTTTTTAATATCATAGGTTATTTATATTGTGCCAACTCAATCTACCCGAAACTGGATAATTTACCAACACCATACCTCTTTATGTTAGCCCATCTGTAGTTAAAGAGTTGCTCTACTGAGACTGTGTATTTACAGCCAGCCTGTTCATACACTGACTGGTTTGAAAGACATAGTCAGATGCTGTATATAGTACTGCCCTTACATCAGAGGCAAAAAGGGCTGCACTCTTGGCACGTACCAATGCACTTCAAGAAAAATATGCTTTGGAGGAGCAAGTGGAGCAACTAAGAAGGAAAAAAGAACAACTTGGAATTGAAACTGAAATAGCAGCCTCTTCAGCAAAACTAGCAGTGATAAACACCTCATGCAGTACACATTTGGATGGAATAGATTCCTACACTGAACAAAATTATAAATGCAACACTTTTGTTTTTGCCACCATTCATCATGAGCTGAATTCAAAGACTTTCTCTATGTACACAAAAGGCCTATTTCTCTCACATATTGTTTACAAATCTGTCAAAATCTGTGTTAGTGAGCACTTCTCCTTTGCCAAGATAATCCATCCACCTCACAGGTGTGGCATAACAAGATGTTCATCAGACAGTTTGGCTATTGCACAGGTATGCCTTACTGCAAAAATAGAGCAGTTTTTTGACTCATGATGAATGGGGGCAAAAGTGTTGCGTTTATAATTTTGTTCAGCGTATATTAAAAAAGGAACAACACTGAATCCTCACGGTGAACAATACAACCCACAGCAAAAGGACAGTTCTCAGCAAAAAATATGCATTATCTGCCAACACTCGTGCAGCAGATGAAAAAAGAATAGAAACGGACACATGTGAAAATGAAAATACAGCTAGTGGCAAAGGTCTGATCAGACAAACCAGCGGCAAGAAGAGTTAAATCCTTCTGGTCAGCAACACATTTTAAAGGCAATCCTCAACAATCTGCAGATCTCTACAGTCTGTTACAAAGGCAAAACGAGATAACAGCCACCCTTGTACAGACGCAGAACTCACAGTTGCTGGCTCACAGAGAAATTCCTGTGTTCGATGGAAGTCGTGGAGTATAGGTCATTCATCAGAGCATTTGAACAATGTGTGGAGGTCAAGACAAACAACAAAGGAGTTTGTATTACCTGGAGCAATTCACTAGGGGGCAGCCTAAAGATCTTCTGTACAGTTGCCAGCAAATGTTGACAGAAAGAGGAGATGCAATGGCTAAAGACCTTCTCCAAAAGCATTTTGGACAAGAAGTAAAAATTACAGCTGCTTATGTTTTCACAATCATGAGATGGCCTTCTATTAAGGCAGAAGATGCTAAGGGGCTACAGGCTTATGCATTGTTTCTGCAAGAGTGTTGTAATGCTGTGGAGGATTTGCAATATTTGGACAAACTCAATACGCCAGCAAACATGAAAACAATAATTAAAAAAGCTTCCTTACAAGCTCAGAGAGCAATGAAAAATGATTGTGTGTGAAATATCTGAAAACCAAAGGCGTAGATTTAGCTTTAAGGATATCGTCAAGTTCAGTGAGTACCAAGTCAAAATCATCCAACGGAGGATGAGGTCAAGGGGCAACTGGACTTGGCTGAAGACACTAGAAGATGTTTCGTCCCTCATTCAAGAGACTTCTTCAGTTCTGACTGACTGGTAGGGAAACGGCTATTTAACCTCTGGGATCATTAACTAGGATCGTGCTCCTGGCTGTGGTAACGACAGTCATAATGTTCGTTACACCCACCCATGGCCAAGTCTGAATGACCATTGTTGGTACCTTCACCCGAGGCCAAGAGGAAATGCTTGTTTAGTTTCCTGGGAAGTGATGAAAGGACAGCATTGTAAGTGGGTGACAAGTGGTGGCATAGACCCCCTCCTCTGTTCAACGACGGCTTCTCAGTCCGGGTGTAAATGGCTTCTCTGACACCTCTTTCGAACCATCCATCTTCTCTGTCTAAAATGTGCACCTGGTGATCCTCAAACGAGTGTCCTTCAGATGTAGGTAAACTGCAGAGTCTTGACATGAGGAGTTAGTCCTTCTGTGTTGAGCCATGCGTTTGTGTAGCTCAGTGCATTCCTCACTGCCAGTGGCGGCTGATGAAAAGGTGGGGCTTCTAAACATAGAAAGTGGCATAAAAAAATAGGCTACCTCTAATTTGGACTGCAGCACAGTAGGCCTACTTAAGTTACTGTCTACCGTTGGAAATAACCACATCTTAACGGCTAAAATCCACTGACTCCCCAGAAGAGGCTCTCCGCTCTGCAGAGAATAGGTAGCAGGTCTATTTTTGATGGAAGACGCATCAAGCAGCACAGAGCTGATTGAAATACGCAGGAAGTCAGACACAGAACGGCAGAGAGAATCCGGTCAATTTTCAAAATAAAACACCCCGTGGAGACTGCGGATTGTAAAACAACAATAAACATGGTTAAAACGGACACAAAAGGATATCCTTTAACTATCTACCCTACTAATTAATCATAGTAGAAGCACAAATGCAAACACTGGTTACCAGATCAACAACATGTAAACATGTCATCAAAATCAGGCAGGTAAAGTGCTCTGATTCTGAAATGCTCCTTGTGGGAAATGCAGCCTGCAGTTTACAGAACGAAACATAGAGCACTCAATACATAGAGCGGTGAATATGTTAGTAGAAGCACAAAAAGGACAAATTAATAACAAATTAATAACGTGGGACAGGCTGCACGGTTCGCTGCTAACTCTTCTGAGATGCTTCCAGTGGCGCCGGTGTTGTGCCGAATTCTGCCTGCCTGCCGAGAATTGCATACACCTCGCGGGTGGTAACGCAAATTCATGCTGAGAAAAGAGGTGGATGCAAATCTCGGCAGGTAGTCTCCAACATCTGTTCTGCCCTATACAGTCAATGGCTCTGCCGAATTAATCATCCACCTCTTAATAAGGTCCTTTTCAGACACTTTGCTGTGCACACTGATCAAACGCGATTCTCACCACGTATTTTAGCTGAATCATAAGGAATGGCACTTCTACTAAGTGTAATAAATAATTAACGACTCTAGACGTTCATAAAATATATACTTCGAATCATTTATCACCATTGATGTACCCCACAAACGATATTATAGCGTTTAAAAGCAGTTTTTGGAGGTGCATGCAATTCTCGGCAGGCATGCAAAATTCAGCATTACACCGGTCAATGGACGCATCAAAACCGTGGCGCAGCTGTAACGTGCCGTAGCAGACACCGGCGTAACACTTTAGAGCTGTCTATAAACTATACAGTTTACCTCTGTAGCCAACAGCTGTTGTTCTCCTTGTTTTTGTACCACAGCACAAGCACCAACTGGCAGTGGTGGTTGGAAATATCAGATGTCTCATCTGCCAGAATAAACATTCCTCTTGAATGTAATCTTCAAGAACTGACAGCATGCAGTCCAAAAGTTTGTTTTGCACAGTCTTTGAGGTGCCTTTGAAAACGTTAGCTACCTTAAGGTGCTCCTCCAACACACTGTCCAGCGAGATCTACTAAAAACGGCAGGGTTGTCAGAGGATGCGGTCTCATTGTGGCCGCTCAAGGCCGATGTTAACTCTGCCTAGCATGGCTAGCTT